GCTTAGAATTGTATTAAGGACACATATCATATAGCTATATCAAAACATGTAAAATAACTATAGCTAATTTCCTCCGAGGTGGTGAACTATCACTGGATTTAGCTTAATGTCCTAGAATATCAATCCTAGGTATTTCAAAGAAATCTGAAAGAGGTGAATAGCTCTCTCAATTTATCTAAAAACTGTTGAAAAATTCTGGTCTAGCTGAGGATGGGAGGTTCTAGAATATGTCTGTGTGCATTGGAAGGTTGGGTTCTCAACTTTGACACTCTTGGCATTTTGGGCTAAATAATCCTTTGTTATGGGGGCTACCCTGTGCATTGTGGAATGTTTATCAGCATCCATGGCCTCTACCCACTAGATACCAGTAGCAGTAGCACCATCCATGCTTCCATAAAAATAAAAAACGTATGAGACATTGACAATCTCCCCTGGAAGGCATTGAGAACCATGGATGTAAATGATGTTAACATATTGTCTCTTCCAAAACCTACATCAGGACACATGTCCAGCCTGTAATTTATGATACTGCAAACAGTCTGAGCTAATAGAGTGATTCATTACAAAGATCAAATTAAGGATATGGCCTTTAAATTCAAGCTTAATAGTCTCAAGGTAGCCCTTATAAAATAAGAGAGAAAGCATATTAGGAGCAAAGGCATGTAGAAGATTAACGGATTAAAAAAAGAACTATGGGTAGGTACCTGGAACATGAAATTTACTGGAAACAAATTAATTTAAAATCTATTAAGTTTGCAAAGTAACTGCATTGCCAAAGAAACCACATGACTTGTTTATAATCATATGTCTGCTCAAGACTTAAAACAATTCTTTGGCCCCCAGCCTTCCAAGACCAGGAAATCAGCTGAGAAGAAGGTACTAAAGTTACAGAAGGCGCATTCCTTAGCATCCTCCTCACCTGGGGCCACTGAGAACAATAGACAAAAGAATAGAGTAGAATCAGGACCTAATTAAGGAAATTCCCACCCATTCCCTGTCTCCTCGCCCCCCACCCCAACTTCAAGGTAAGGGCCTTCATCTTCTCTGTGCAGTGGGGTTTCAGATTTGCTATGAACAAGGTCTATGGACTGTTTCCAATCCTTCCCTTTGTCTAATTAAAGTATTCCAGTAGATATAATTTATCTTTAAAGTTCATAGGATTCTGGAAAAAATAAAGACACAATTAGATCTAATTCAGAAGCTATCATGAGTACAGAGTTCCTGTATTTTGAGTAGGATTCAGTGATTCAGTGATTGAACGAGTTTAGACCATCTCCTTGAAGAAGGGTTGAGTTTGTTCTATGAGTGGGATGAAAAGAGCAAGGGGATCTGTGTGACTAGGAAGTTGGATTGTAGCAGAAACACTTACTTATTAAATATGGTTCTGGACATTTCCCAGCCTTTCTTACAGTTAGGTTAACATTATAATCTAATGTTAATTAGGGCTAGTTCTGGCCCCCATAAGACTCTAAGCAGAAGTGACACAAATCACCTGAAGGTGGTGGCAGTTTAGAACCCAGTGCCTCCTCTGAATCTCTTTTACCCTTTGGTGGCTCCCTTGGAAGCCATGTGTTGTGATGGTGGAGGCACCAAAGGGAGTGAACCTGGATCTCTGATCACAGCTTGGGGAAGAATCTCTGCTGCCTTTCATCACGCTTTGCTGTGTTAAAGCACTGAAATTATAGGGTGTATTTGTTACTGCAGCATGGACTAGCCTATCTTTCCTAGTATAGTTCTCTAGCCAAGAGTTCTACCATCATCACAACCACTGACAGAGCTAGGAAATACGCCACGGCTTAGCTACAAACAGCTGACTACTGGTGAGAATGCAGTTAGGAGTTTGTTTAGAAATCATTAGACACTATGTTACAAAGACATGAAAGAGGAACAGACCCTGGAGTAAAGATTTCAGGAGAACCCCACATCTGTTCCCCTCTCTGGAAAGTGGGACAGCATGCATGCTCCCTTTTGATAACATAGTCATTAGCAGCTGAAAAGTGCACTCTGTCTTTTACATAGTATTTTAAACCCACAAGCTCCTTTCATGCTGTCACATTTTCTGCAATCACAAAGAGCCTCCTTTTCTCAGCCAGCAGCCTTAATGGCACCACTCCTCTGTACGTTAACCAGCACCTTGGTTTCTTCGAATAGGGCAGATATTTTCAGTCTTAGGTTGAGGCTGAACTTTCATGCCAAATTAACTTTACACTCCCAAACTTTGCAAATCCCTTGTCTGTACACTATCAGTTCTCAACATCCACAAAAAAATATCTGGTCTGCCCTGCTGGTGTGGCTCAGTTGGTTGAGCACTGTCCCATGCAACAAGAGGTCCCTGGTTCAATTTCAGGTCAGGCTACATGCCCAGGTTGCAGGCTCAATCCCCAGAAGGCGGTGTGCAGGAGGCAGGCATTCAATGTTTCTTGCTCACATCAATAATTCTCTCTCTCCCTCTCCCTCCCTCTCTAAAATTAATAATACTAATAAATAAAAAACATGTTTAAAAATTATGTGGTCTAGTTTAGGTAATAAAAAAAACTATCAAAGAAACAAACAGATAAAACCCCTGTAGCAATAATAAGCAGCAAAAAAATGTTTAAGAATTAAAAAAAGTTTAGTTATAATTTAGTTGCAAATATGTTTTCGTATATGTATATGTTTCTATATATTCCCTCAAAAATTATTTTTATTATTTTCCTGAGTTGGTTTTCATTCAGGAAAAAAAAATTGCACAGCTTTTTCAGGGGAGCTATCCATGGCTACCCCACTGTCCTTTAAAATTCAACTTGTTCACCACCTGTCTCCTTCTAAAAATCGATTCTTTCTCCTATTATTTCTACTCTCTGAACCAGCAATCCACCTTCCATTCATCCATGTGCAAAATTCAGAATTATCTTTCTACTCTTCTCCCTCCATCTGACAAGCCATAAGGTGCCAAGTGCTATAGAGTCCAACTGCCATCAGTAACCCTCTAATCTGATCCTTTTTCTCCAGTCTCAGTCGGCTCTTCAGAGCTGGTTCTTTTTTGTTGTTGTTTGTTTTACCCTCATAAGAGCTGCTGAACGTATCTCCCTGCATACAGTCTTTCCTTACTCGATGCAGTCTTTATACCTCCACCAAATTAGTGGGTTTTTTAATCAAGATGCTAATTAAGCTATTTTCTTTCTTAAAATCTCTCAGATTTCCCCCATTTCATACTATACCACACCTTCATTCTGTCACCTAAAATCTTCCTCACTATAATCCTACCCTATCTTTCTAATTTTGAATCATTTCTCTTCTACTTCTACCGGACATTTCAGAAAAATGGGTTGGTCACTCTTCCTTGTGCTCTTGCAAACCAGAGGCTTTGCTAATACCATTCCCTTTGACCAAAATATTCTCCCCCTTTTTTCACTGACAGGCTCCCAACCTTCAAGATCCACCTCATTAATTCCATCTTCAGTAACATCTTTCTTAATCCCACCAACTGGTATGAGAGCCTCTTTTACAGCACTAATCAAATTTTGATTTTTGTTTTCGCACTAGTTAAAATATGTCTTTTGTCATATCTTTGCATTATTTGAGTTACTACTAATTTATGTTATTTGATGGCAAAGATAACATAAAATAAAAATTAAAAAGAAGACATGAGCTGGTAGGAGGAAATAGCATATACTGTACTGAAGGATCTTTATGCTTCAACTCTCTACATTTCTTTCCTCTCTACCTTCAACATAGGTATTTGAAAATTCTCCTCCATGTGAATTTGGAGGCCTACCACCCCCATAATTCTTATGCTGACAGCATCACATAAAACACCATCTTAAGCAAGTTTTACTTCTGAGTCCTAGCTATTTGGACCCTGACTATCAGTGTTCCTGTACTTCCCCACGATTGATTGCTCAGTTCCTCTGGCACTATAACAGTACATAGCATCAATGCAATTCAGCCCAATCAGGAGCTCCACAGAAAAACTATCTTCATAAATATCTTATTAAATTGATCTGAGAAAAATTCCAGAGAGATTCAAATTCCCATCTTGGTTTCTGTATATATGCCAACTTTCATAAACATAGCTATATATCATCCATGCCGATAGAGATATCAAATGAACTCTCAAGGTGGATCGTTCACTCTGTGGATTTCTCAAGACAAAGTCGCGCCTGCCTTTGCCCATGATCAGGTTAAATGATGAAACACTGATTTTGAGGAAATAACTATGTGTCTAAGCATGAGTGTGGTAATATCAGTGACCCTCTATTTAAATATGCTTTGAAATCTCCTATGCATAGGAACTGTTCCATTTCATCCATGAAAGTGATGGAGTCCATGGCTTTGAATATTCTTACCTCCTCTCTCCTCCAGCGATATATCTATCAAATCATTTCTAAAATTCACTGAATAAAAAAATAAAACATGCATAGCTCTACTTATAAACATATAATAACAAAATGCTTATGGTGCATATCTGAACATATAATTCAAAGGAAGCCCAATAAAAGAGAGAATGAAAACTGTCTCTACTATTCTCATACTAGTATCTCTTTCTTGAGTGAACAACTAACTGTTCTGGTTTGCCCTGGACTTAGGTTCCCAACACAGGGGGCTTTCAGTGATTAACCGGGAAAGACCCTCCAAACTAGGACTGGTTCTTTATCTTACTCTTCATGGATATTGATAAAATCCCCGTTCTTTGCAAAATTCAAAATATAAGTACTTATTCTAGAATTCATCTTGCTTTTAATTTCCATAAATTATGGAGTCCAAATATGATCTGTTCTTAAGAATTCAGACATTTACTTTCAATCTCAGCAGGTCTAAATCCCCCTTCCAAAAGTGTTTGAGTTTCTGGGTCTCAAGCCATAAGACAGTCAGGGAAGCTGTCCTAAGGAACCAACTGCTCTCTGGTGGGTCAACTGTATTAGATGAAAAGATCCTCTGCTTCCTTCTCTTATAGTTTCTGTCCCAACTCAATCACAAAATGAAAGTAAAATTTTCATGAGGAAAGGAACTTTTCAAACCTCATATTCTTCTCTTAGCTGAACCATTCCATTTATATATCTTGGCAGCAGTCATTAGCAGTGAGAAACCTAAAAAGACAACAAAAGAGAAATGTATAAGTCTTTTTCAAGAGCTTCTGAAGTGTTGAAAAGTGTTTCTATTTAAAAGCTCCTGACAATGATTGGCAGGATCTGAGAAAACCTCACAAGATGAGCCCCACCCTCTGAGAATTATTATCAGGAGAACAGTAATTGGTGAACATCTAATCCATTCTAACCACAATTGAGGGATTGCAATATAATTGCTAGTTGGTGGTCCCTCTCAAATGCCACAAGAAGGTGAGTGAAGCATTGATCAATACTGAACACCCCACAAGGACTGTCAGACCTCAAAGATGGGGAGAAGTTCTAATATTCTGAACTAACTTGACAATAAAAACAAGGGGGAGCTTGCATTGATTGATTGAGTGATTACTAACTAGCCCATTAGGCCAGCCTCTTCCCAAGAATCTGACATTTAAAATAAAAATAAGACAGGCCTAATTTTAAATTTTGCAATTAGAGGATTTAATTTAGATGTGAGGGAGAACAGAGGTGTTTAAATCAACCCAATTTAGTGCAGACAGAAAAATAGACAGAAATGAAAATTACAGAGTCAGTTTGTAATAGACATAATGAAGCCCATTTACATTTGATGTAATAAATGTTTAGAATATTAATGACTCATATGGCAAAATTTGAGGCTACTGACAATTGGGGTATTAAATACCAACTTTTCAACTTCCTTTGTTTTCCACAGTTATCTACTAAATGATAAATAGAAGTAACCATGAAGGAGTTAAATCCATTTTGTTGTGACTTAGTCAATAGTGCTTCAGTAATGGGTAGGTATGATTGTCGTAATGAATTGCCTTGAAAGTACAGAAAGTTAATGGTCATTATCATTGGTGCAAGAAGAGGGAAGCAAAAAAAGGGGGGGCATAATCAAAAACAGGATACAAATGCATAAGACAGTTACTTTTATCCATAATAATGTAGTAAAGAGAGATGCCTTTCTAAGTTGTCTGGTTTGTTAACCATGCAATAGTACATTTAACCAAACTAAAAAAGAAATCACTTGGAAAAGAAAGAGACTGCAAAAAGAGGAATAGCTGACATATGCTCAAACTGTGAGATTTCAAATGATATGTCATAAGATATAATATCTAATCACACATATATAACAAAACCATTCCTTTGTGGAAAAGAAGAACCAAAGATATTTAAGCACCAGATTAGTGCTACTAATATTACAAATGTTTTACAAAGTCGTGTAAAGAAATTAAGTAAAACTCAACTTTGAGTCAAGATTTTTTATTCAAACAAGAATCCACCAGGAGACACTGACGTTGTAGACTTTGCCATTTTGTTAACAAAAGGTCACAAGTCCTAGTAATTACCTGATTTTGAAAAACATTCAAGAACAGATTGGGAATCTTGGACCCAATGTCTAAGTGAGAACAATAAAAACAGTCTTCAGCTGCCTTTACACAACTTTTTTCTTCATTATCACACAACAGATGATATTTGTTTTTCTGTTTCATTTTTTGCCTTCTAACCTGAGCGACAGGCCAGATTCTCCTCCTCTGTAACTCTGCAGGGATTCTTCGGTTTGTACCTTTTGTGTAATTCTGCTTGGCATTCTAAATATAACTCCTTCGCCTGGGTTTCAATATATTTCTTGACTTTCACCTGCAGATCTTCACTAAGTTGCATGCCATGGAATAAGGGGTAGTTTTATCAGCAAGAGAAATCTAGGGATATTATGTGTTCACAGCTATAATAACTAAGTTTCTATTTCATAAATTGGAGGAGAGATGGAATAATCTTTAAGGAATGAATTTTATCATTTGCAATTCAAAATTGTAATTTATTGCTACAATATGGTGACTGTTTCCTAGATTAAAGGAGTATAGTTACAGTACTTAATTGACATCATTTCAAAAATAGTTTAACGAAGGTGAATTACAAGATTCTAATCTTCACAGTCTGAGATTTCTCAATAACAAAGTTGGGTCTCAGTATGGGCCAAAATACAGTAATATAGGCCCCTTGTCTAAGAAATATAATTCCTGAAATGAGGTCAAAATCATTTCACATTCCTCCAATCTTTGAAGATGTGATTTTTATGTACCAGGCGTTTTACACAATGTCTCTGTGAAGTGGTCATGCACTCTGGAAGGGCCAGACAATCTTGATATAAGCTTCAAGAGACAACCACATACTCTTTGAACATTGGTAATATTTCCATCATTACTTTTTTTCAGTTCCCTTGGAGGATTCATGCTAAGGGTAGAGAACCGGAAGAGAGATTTTCCTGCAGAGTCATAAAAATAGCCAAAATGTATTTTTCTTTTAGCCATACATTTCAGCATGCATAAACCCTCTGGCTGATATTTCTTGCCATTTGGTCCAACTATACTTCCTGAAGACACTGTATGAAAAGAACTAGTCTAATTTAAGAAGGAATCTGTCCCTGGTAAAACAATACATACAAAAAAGAAATCATCCAATTTAGCCAACTTCCTTAGAGCCTTGATCTGAAAATTTGGTCTTAAAATAGAAAACTTAAATAAAAGTGACTATCCAAGTCATTTTGCTCTTAGTACATTTAGGATCATTTTATGGAAAAGACACTCAATTCATTTAAATTAATTTTAAGGTCAATGAAACTTACATACTCTAAGTAGATCATTTCTACATGCTCCTATTTTACCTTGCATAGCCTCGGGTATATATATTTTTCCTTTGTCATCAAAATGTTCCTTTATTAATAATTTCTATTCCAGGGATAGGTTTATTTTCAGAGACATTTACCATAAATTTTCCAGAAATTTATTAAAGTGTAAATGGCCTCCCCAAGGTGTTAATAGGCAAGATATTCTGAAAATAGCTTAACTTAGAACACATGTGTTCCTTGAACATGAGTAGAAAAGTATATATGAGTAACAACGTTCTTCCTTTCTTCTCTACTATGATTTAAATCACCTCATTTGGAGAATATTTGAATTTTAGGAAAAGACTGAATGTTTATGATTTTTCTTTTGAATTTAAAAATTTATATACACACAAAGGAAGTAAAGTACATACTTATTGACTTATTACTCAAATGTCCATAATTATTGAGATGAACACTCAGCGATGAAATCTACTCAACTGAAAATGGTCTCATGATCAGAATAAAAAAGCTATAGCATAAAATATGCTGCAGATTATCACACGTTATTAACACTTGAGTCTGATTCAATGGGCTATTATTTTACTAGAAATGGAGATAAAACTTGAAAAGAAAAGCATAAGGAAAGTACTTAAGGGAGTAAATGTAATATATTTCAAATATTTTACATAGTATTATTTACTAGGTATTTGTTATATACGGGGAAACACAGCCCTGAATTCTAGATTAGTGATACTTCAAGTGTGGTTCCTAGACCGGCAATTGCAACATCTCCAGGAACCTGTTGGAAATGCAAATTCTCAGGCTCTACCCAGATCTCTGGAATCTGAGACTGCTCAACAAGCCCTCCCGTTGAGTCTAATGCACACTCAGGTTTGAGAAACACTGTTCTAGATCATCATTTTTAGGATGTAGCAAATTCAAATATAAATGGATCCAAAAACTATTTTGCATATTCAATAATAAACACAATATTTAAATTTGTATAGTGATTTGAAAATTACAAAGCACTTTCTTTTTTTTATTGCTTAAAGTATTACAAAGGGTATTACATATGTGTCCTTTTTTTTCTTCCCCGCCCTTGACAATCCTCTGGCCCCCCCTACCCCCCAGTGTCTTATGTCCATTGGTTATGCTTATATGCATGCATACAAGAAGTTCGGTTGATCT